GAAAAAACCAAAATGAACTTTCAAACGTTACATTGATCACTGATAGCACATGATCACAAATAAAACATGATTACGATTGAACCGCAATATAATTGTTTTGCTTGATAATGTTTTACCAAAACGGTCGAGGTGTGCCGTAGAAATTGCACATGATCACAGATAAAACATGATTACGATTTAAACGCAATATAATCGTTTTGTTTGATAATCCTTCAGAATTTGAAAACATTTTTTCGAGATCAACTATCCTATAGTACTCTTTTTTTACATTTAAATAATAAAACAAAATTCCATAGTCCGGCTCGGTTTTTTTATGTATATAGGTCTTCACGAATAGCTTCAACTAAGCTAAGTTGCCAGCAGCTTACATCGAACCATTTCCGAAATACCTTTTTTTAATCTCTGATTTGGCACGATAATATACTACACACTGTTTTACTACTAACCAAAAAGATTTTTCACAACTCGACACGTGTTTCGCTAATTATGTTAGCATCTTCAGGAGGAGATTTTATCTTGTATTGAAAATACTCTTCAGTAAAACTTGAAATTGAAATAATTTTAATGTGATCGTAGAAAGAATGTTGTGAGTAGCATGTATGTACACAAAACATATTATTTGTTGCACTCGAATTGATTGCAGCTCTCGACATTGTCTCGAGCTGCAACCTTCATGCATCATTCAACAAACATACACTTCTTGCACTAGTTGCACAGATAACTGTTTTCTATGTCTATGAGACGAAACTATTCTTTCAAGTGTTTTAGATAAAACACAGGTTCATTCTATGGCTTCACCTGATGAAACAAAGATTCCATTGTATAGTTATTATTATACAATAAAATAAAACACGTCTCCCGTGGAATTCGAAATTTTAAGTAATATTCTTCGAATGACAGCTCTGTTTGATTAGGATTATAGTAAAACGTGTCAAACAATCATATAATGAGGAGGGAAATAAGTGATTTCACTGTAATATTATTACTGTGAATATTGTGAATAATTAAATTTACATTTTGAAACTTCTAGAAAGAATAACAATATCGTTGCTCAGTTATTCAATGTGTAACTGTTTTCACAATTATTGTGAATGGGGGTTTTGAATTACATTAAATATGAATTTCCATTTCTGTTGTTGAATTATTTCGCTATTATATGTTGAAGCCTACGGCTCATGCTGCATACTTCATGCTCATGAGAAATGACTATTATTCCGTGCTCATTAAGCAATATACTATACAGTGTGACCCATTTCTAATGGAAACACCCCTGTATCTTACGTAATCGTTGGGAAAGGATCCCGAAATTTACTGGAGCGAGAGATATACCAAAAATGCAATCTATGACCAAGTGGATTCTTCTTGAGTAATATACACTGCTCGCCAACAGCCATGGAACCACACCAATTTCCGGAAAATGATATTAGGAGTCAAAATAGGTCGAAAATCACTTCAGATTTTGAATCAAAACGCCCAATTCTCTAACTATTCATAGTTTTCCTGGAAAATTCTCAGTTCTGAAAAATTAAATATTGTCGCACTTTTCACGGAAGCACCCCCGTTTCTTACGTAATTGACTTTATCTTTGGACTTTCCCTGCGTCCTGCAAATTTCAGAACCCTACCTCAATAATTACGTGAGATACGGGGGTTCTTCGATGAGAAGTGAGAAATTAAATTTTTCTGAACTTAAAATTTTCCAGGACAAATATGAATCGTTAGTGAATTGGGCGTCCTGATTCTGAATCTGAAATGATTTTCGACCTATTTTGACTCCTAATATCATTTTCCGGAAATTGGGGTGGTTCCATGACTGTTGGCGAGCAGTGTATATCACTGAAGATGACCCCACTTGTTCATAGAGTGCATTTTTGGTATATCTCTCGCTCTAGCAAATTTCAGGATCCTTACCCAACGATTACGTAAGATACAGGGGTGTTTCCATTAGAAGTGGGTCACACTATATCATACTGTTTGTTTATTTTGAGAATAAGTAGGAACATGGTTTTCTTGAAATACCGTTTTCCTTCTCGATTACCTTATCATTTAATTTGTTGAAACATAATTAATGTTTTCGGTTCCACTGTTTTCATTTGGAGAAACATTTCCCTAAACAGATCAAGCAGTACAGATACTGGCAATTAACAACCAAATTTCCTCACCAAATAAGCAATGTCAGGGGCGTCTCTACCGGTGGGGTTCGAAAATGAAAGCAAACCAACGAAATCAATATACAGTATGATGCAAATGTATGGAATAAATTCATTTCAAAACGAGACGACTTTCGAAAAAAAAACCAAAAACTAGAGTTTAGAACTTTTTTTTCGACGTATTTTTTTAACTAGACGACCCTTCGATGTTCAATTCTCAGTAGCAGACCTCTGCAAGATTCAGTTAATCACATGATAATCCATTTCAATTTCAATCTTCTTATGCAACATTTTGACTGTTGAATAGACGATCAGTAGACCTTTCAATCAAGGTGTCACATGACCCCTATTTGTATTTGAAAAAATCGTCCATTACGTCTTTACTCCAACACCGGTGACGTAACATATCTCATATGAATATCATGGGATGAGGCTTCAGAAATTAAAACTCACGTTTTTTTGGAATTTTTTCAAATGTCGCCCATTTCTGAAATAATAAATTTATTCCATACATTTGCATCATACTGTATATACAGAGAAGTGCAAAAAAAAACGGACAGGATTGTAACTTTCGAATTATTCTGGATAGGATTTCGCGAGGATTTCGAAAAATTGGTGGGTAGCAAGTATACCAAATTGCTCATTAATTGATGAAACAATTTTTCTTCTATCACTTCCAATTTCACCGGAGACGACCCCAACTTTTGATTTTGGATTTTCCATCATCGGTTAGGGATTATCATGAAGAATTCAACGATACCGGGTTTGATAGGGTTATTCCAAACAATTACAATGATATTCGCGTTCGAAGTTTCCATAAGCTCAATGTGCGTGACGGCGCAATATCAGAACTTCTTTCTCTGTCACACTCATTGAGCACATGGAAACTTCGAACGTGAATATCTGCGTGATTGTTTGAAATATCCCTATCAAACCGTTACCCCGGTATCGATGAATTCGTTATGACAATCCCTAACCGATTATGGAATATAATACAGGGTCCCATTTGAAAATAAAAAATTAGGGTCGTTTTCAGTAAAACCGTAAGTGATAAAACAAAAATTGTTTCGTCAATTAATGAGCAATTTGGTATAGTAGCTGCCCACCAATTTTCATGTAAGCTTTCGACCTTCCGGGTCTCATCAGTTAGGCGAAGAAGCCTAAGAGCTAATTTGATTATTAATTTAATTTACTTGGTTCAAGAAGTAGTTCTCAGTAGTTTCAGAACCCTATCTCGAATAATTCAAGGCCAAATCAGATGATTTTGCCCCAAAATGTCACTGTGATTAAAATGTCACTATAAGGAACCTAAAAAATATTTAATCCATCGTCAGTGACACCTTGTTTGAAACATGTTTGAAGGAATGAAGAATATAGATGTAATCAAGAAATATAAAATTCCTCCCATCTTTGGGAAAGAATGTGCTTCCGTTTTCTACATAATAATGCGAAATATTTCTTGAGCTGATCTTTCCTTTTTCGTTTTTGCTCTTTTTTTTGTGATCTTGAATTCACCATTTTCATATTCAGAATTTAGGAGTGAATGCCATGTTGTTATCTTATATCAACTGAACAGGAAGCAATATTATTATCTCAGTTCAGAATAATGCAAGTGGACTCTGTGCTTTTTCTCTTTTGGTTGTTATCTTCTGTTCCTATAATTTTCGTCCACTTCAGCTAATTTTGAATTGTCAATATGTCTTTTCTCTATTATATTTTTGTTCTTTCATCCTTACTGAGAGAGGTCATTTCGTTTTACCCGTATAATATTTTCCACAAACACAGGGTATACTGTATAGACAATGGTCTGATTATTGCTCTTAATTTGTTTGGTTCTATTTGAGGAAAAATTGATCTCATTGTATTTTCTGCCTGGAACCTAATTTACACTTGAAACTTATCGCCAACACGTTTAATTTTTCAAGATAAGCCGGGAATGTATGATATTATATTTTTTTGTAGTGTATCTAATTTGTTTTCAATCTTATGGATCGTTTTATCGAAGACGTTTTTTCATTGGAATTCAGTTGAAGAACGTGTGGATGTAGATTTCGTCATTAAAAAAAAATTATCAAATCACTTCATGATAGAACCAAATTCATTTCATCTGACCAACAAATTTTCAATAACGAAACATCATTAATTGAGCTTTTATGACATCTAGCGGTCTAGATAGTAAGGTTATGATGTCGGTCATCTCCTTAGATCATACATTCCGTTATGAACTTAGGTCATCACATCCGAAATATTGAAAAATAATACCCAGTGACTATTGGCACGTTGATGTGCACGTAAAATATTTCATCCGTGCATGTACATGACGTCACTTACAACACGTGATAACCCCTAGATGCAATTCTCTTTTCATAGGTACATTTTCAAGCAAGCGTTTGCCATAGCGAACTGTGAATCGGACTGCACTTCGGCGACCCGGGAGCAATCCTTGGCAGGTTCAACTTTTCTTTTTTTTTTGCAATTTGTTTCCTCAAGCAATTTTCCAAAAAATATACTTATTAGGAAAAAATTCTTCTAGGCCGACTCAGGTTAAAATGTTTGGGGAATTCAGTCTCTTTTATGGTTATGCAGAAAGGATATTTTCCTTCCTCATGTTCGATATCTCTATGTGCAAACGTCGAAAGAGAGAAAACATGTCCTCTCGTCTATCATGGACTGAAATTACATCCAGAATTTTGTTCCATATCAAAACATATATCATATTGAATTGATTGAATAGACCTGATTCATCATTCGCTGAGGAGTGACGTCATGGACGTGTCTGCAAGAAATAAATTACATGCTCAACGTGTCTCTAGCCGCACCGAAAATAATAATAATATATTTTTTGTTTCAGATGTATGGTGGCATGAGAGGGATCAAAGGCCTAGTATGTGAAACTTCCGTTCTTGATGCCGATGAAGGTATTCGATTCAGAGGCCTATCCATTCCAGAATGTCAGAAGGTCCTTCCCAAAGCCCCTGGTGGCGAAGAACCCCTCCCAGAAGGTATATATTATGTTTAACCATAGATCTAAAACAGCAGCCTCCGCCAGATCTCCTCTTGTATCCATGTTTCGACTGGTAAACGAATATAATGTCTTTATAAATATCGATTACCAATTAATTGTTGTTGTGCAAATATATACAGACATGTAAGGAAAATACATAGTAATAATAAATTTAAAATATACAGATGTATAGTTCACAGACATTTAAGATTAGTAAATCCACGACATAAATTGAACATATACCTACAGAAAAAAAAACATTTCAGGAAATCTTAGGTTCACAGAAGTTTCTCACTCAGTAAATTCTTCTGTCTAATATTCATCTACTGTATAAGGCTCTAAATCAATCAGATAGATCTTTAATGACTTAATGAACTTGCCAATGTGCCCATCGATAGCTTTTAGTTCTTGGGGCAGATGGTTGAAGAATTTGAGTGCACTATAAGTTGTACCTTTCTCCGTAGATCCTCTATTATGTATAGGGAAGTCATAATCACCTTTATGTCTTGTGCAATGGCAATGGCTTTTTCTATAAGGCTCAAAGTATTGTGGATACTTCATTAGAAATTTAAGTGTTTCCAAAATGTAAATAGCAGGAACTGTAAGCATACTGTTTGCTTTGAAGATCCCACGACATGAGTTTCTAACTTTGATATTAAACATGACTCGGACAACCCTCTTTTGACATATAAATATTTTGTTCAAGTCATGACTACCGCCCCAGATGGCGATACCAAACTTAAGAGATGAGTAAAAATTTGCAAAGTATACTGTAAGTAGGATAGAGTTATCCACGTTTTGCTTCATTATCCTAATGGCGAAGATAGATGAAGCTAATTTTTTACATAAAACCTCAATATGGTTTGTCCATTTCAGAGTCGCATCAACGGTGATGCCAAGGAATTTCACTGCATTGCTACAAGTCATTATTTGATTGTCTATAGCCAAAGAATCAGGTGTTTCTATCATGTGATTGTCCTTGAGAAAAATACAATTTGTTTTGGCATTATTCAAAAACAAATTGTATTTAGAAAAATCTGCTCTTGCTCTATTAAGTGTTGTGTTTTCACCACGGCACGGCACGATCCATTTAGTAAAATATAGTAAAATTATAAATAATATAGGTCCAAGGACACTCCCCTGAGGGACCCCATGAGACACCTCCAAGACCTCAGAGCGCACGGTAAAACCATCGTTTCTTAGCTCCACAAGGTGTTTTCTCTCTCTTAAATACGATTTAAACCAATCATGTGCCTTTCCTCTTATTCCATATTTGTACAACTTGTAGAGTAAAAGTTCGTGATCTATGCCGTCAAAGGCCTTGGAGAGGTCCAGGAAAATCCCACAGGAGAGATCTCCCCTTTCCATTGCTTTCAAAATCTCATTGGTGAAATGACTTATCATTACGTCCTCCGTCCTAGAGTCACTGGATGGTATTAGTTTGATAAGAGTTCGGACACAGCTGAACTTTTGTCCTTTTCTATTTTCTATAATACAATGGTTTAAGTGAATAAAGGAATAAGACATATATTCTGCTCTCTTTTCAATTTCCCTAGTAGCGCCTGATTGTCAGATACGATTTGAGAGGTTATATTTTCTGTCAAATCAATCATAGCCGTAGATGGACAATGGGTATAGGGTACAAACACCCACTTCTATTTATACACTATACACTAGCAAATGAAAAGAATGCATGTAACAACATTTTAATATTAGAAAATATACACATATGGATAAACTTATAGCTATAATTCCTTATTGTATGTGAAACTGTACTCCAGTGATGAGTATGAAACATGAAGTTATTTATATTGAATTAAAGGTAGGTATTCTCAATATACAGGAAGTAACATAAGTACTTTCAAGTGAAGTATTCCTGAGAAAATTATAAGAAATAAAGTCTATAACAGCTTTTGTGTCCGGAAATGCTTCATTTCGGAGATACAGAGTGTTGGAATACAGGGAACAAATCATTTTTCGATAAACATTTGATAGGAAAAAAGTAGTTTATTTTGACGAGACCTACCAAATACTTGGATTTGTAAAGTTCTCAGCAACTCCACTTAGCGCCCTAGGAGCTAAGTAACATGGATCGATATAGAAAATATCTCCAAAACGATAATGTCCAGCGTAATTGAGGCCCTCATAATAATTCCCTTGATACATAAAATAACTATTCACTTTTCACTGTTAAATTTTAAATTTGGTCGGCACCTCGGTCGGCACCAAAAACGCCATTCAATAATATATCACTTTGTAGTTTACTTGCTTTTCTTAGTTTCGTTTGCAAATTCTCAATTTCATTATGTAATTTTGTGATCATTTCCTCTTTTCCATGATAATTTTGTTCTGTATTTTGTGTGATGATAATAATGGAATTTTGTTCTCGAAATCGCCTGCTTTGAAATCGACAAACAGATTTCGAAATCTGTTTGAAAATGGGCCTGAAATATTGTTTCATTCTAATCAGATGCTGTTATAAAAAGTGAATTTCAATGAGTACCTCACAAATTTCGCTCTTCCTCAATTTGATTTTGCACCCAGGCCATTTCATATCTTCCTTCCATAAGCGAATGGCGGTTGATATTTGTTTCGGAAATTTGAATAAATGATATCCATTCTTTTCAGAATTGGCACAATCTATTACACAGAAAGTGATTTCCATAACTGCTTTTATCTCGAATGTATAATCATGAAATTTAATTTCAATTCTGACGTTTATAAAATGTATTGTCAAATTCAAACAATTTTGAATGAAAAAGCGCGGGACGACTATGGTGCTCTGGTCACAATGCAAGGTGTGAAACTTAATAAATCTAAACATTCAAAATCCCTAACCGTTGTCATTTCTGTGTCCGAACTCTTTATCAAACTAATAACATCCAGTGACTCTACTCCGTCCTAACCCGCCGCCCCACTCATGCACTCGCAGGTCTCTTCTGGCTGCTCATCACCGGCGACGTGCCCACCGAGGCGCAGGTGCGCGCGCTCTCCAAGGAGTGGGCGGAGCGGGCGGAGTTGCCCGCCCACGTCGTCCAGCTGCTCAACAACTGCCCGTCGTCGGTGCACCCGATGTCGCAGCTGAGCGCCGCCGTCACCGTGCTGAACAGCGAGAGCAAGTTCGCGAAGGCGTACTCGAGCGGCGTGCACAAGTCCAAGTACTGGGAGGTGAGCCACCATGTTTTTTTTTTGTTCATTTTGCATCTAGGTGATCCAAATGCGTGTCGAAACAGCAGGGCTTTTTTCTATCTGAAGGTTAATCGAGGAAGAGGTATATAATAGTACTATATAATAGTATTGTTTTATTAGGAATAAATGTGGCACTTTGTTTGACAAGCGAAATTTGCATTTGCGAGGCGGAGCGACCGTGAAGCCGAGCACGCAAAGTTTGCGAGTCAAAGAGACTCACTTTTGGTCCGAATGAAACATGCAGGTATTGGAAATAATTGATGTCAAATGGGCGTGTACACCTTAGTAGAAATTTCAACTGAAACCATGTTTATAATGATCCTTTTATACATAAATAATGATTGACGACATAATTCGATCGAAAAATCAACTGGAATGTTTTATTTTTGAATATAAATAATAGTGCCTTCTGAAAACGGACCCTCTTATGACGTAGAAACCTCATCTCGCCTTGAACCAATGAGCGTGACCCATGTGTGACACTTATCACTGTTGCCATATCATCCAAACAAAATATCCGAGAGATCGAAATCGATATTGAAATATCTTTTGATATCCACTACCACTACTGCAGAAGAATATATTATTCAAGGTGTCGACTGTAGGTTGAATCATTGGAACATAAACAATCTCTTGACAACGTAATGTCTCAATCTCAAACCATTTGCACCATTACAATTTCACAATAATCCAATACATTTAATAAACGCAGCAACATTGCTTTGTTGACTCGTTTTACATGGAGCTGCATTTGCATCGAGTCTCGAATTCCGATTCCGAAGTTATTTATTTCGTTTAAAATGAGAAGAGAAGACACGAAATGAAATTAACCTCCAAATCTCCCAAAAATTGATTTGGAAATGGTTAATGATTTTTATGTCCCTAACCGAGTCCCTAACATACAGTTTCTCAGTGCTGAAGTGAGAAATAGAAAATCTGAAAGGTTTGTTACACAATATTCATTCAATTTTCATTGCTTGTACCTATTATAGTTGTATTGGAAAATTGTTCACCTGAAAGGATATTTAACATCAGAATACCCATCATATGGAGAATCCTCATTAAATCAGTCACTGATTGATATGTGGCATGAAACAATGTATGGTTATTCCCTAGACTAGATACTACTTGCATCTCCCTTTGAATGTTCTTCTAAGAGATGGATCATTCATTTTTCAAGCAATTTCCCAATGAATTTCTGCAAAGCAAAACAACTACAATATTGTGTTAACCCAGTGAGGGGCCAGATTTGTTTGTAGGCACAAAACATTTCTTAATCATACTTTTGTCGAAATATTTCGATTTAATATTCGAAAGTTTCGCGATTTGCAAAAAGTTGATATAGGTTAGAATTGATCTTCTTCTTGTTCTTATTATCTTTGTCCCAAAAATCAACTTGCAGATTCACCAATCTTGGTGCTTTGTCAGAAATCATGTATCATTCATCTCTGTCTGGAATAGTCTTGTTTCAGTATTAGGGTTTTGACGTCACATCATCACAGCCTCGTTTTCAGAGGTCCGAAAAATCGGGGATTTCAATAATTTTTTATAAAACGTAGGGAGCTCACAGCAAGAAACGGTTTGCGGTGGTGAGCTAGTTTGGGTGAGTTCTATCGAATTATGAAATAAAAATTTTTTTGTGATATAAGCCCATTATTAAAATATAAGTGAAATATCACTATTTTGAGTCATTTGAGCATGTCAGTGTCATAGCAGCTATCATAGCAGCTGCCATCCGACAGGTTTTTAGTTACTAGGAGTTAAACTACAACTTCAGCTCCTAAACACTAAATTTGTTGTCTAGCAACTTCAAGAGCTAATTTTGGAACGAAAATGGACGACTTTTGAGCCGATTGCAGGAAAAATATGCATATCTCGGGTGAGAATGCTCCTTTTTCACCTACCTACCAAGATATGTTACGTATTTGCCTCTTGTTTCAACTCTATATCATGTGAAGGTAGTTCGGTAGTATGTCCGGAATAATAGCAAATAAATCGCTGTGCCTTGGATTTGGCTCAGACTGAGGGAATTGTTATCTATTTATCAAATCAAGAAATGAAGTGCAAATTTCCCCTTAGGAAAGTGCACAAAATCGGACTTTACAAGATGCAGAGTGCCGTCTATGCATGGAGGAGGATGAAACGGCTAAACACATTTTATGTACATGGTCTTCAGAGCCTAAAATCAGATTTTCAACATTCGGCAGTACAACAGTGGGGCCAGAAAACATGTTAAATTGATCTCCCAACGTACTTCTTAATTTCTCCTAGAGATTAGAGATACTAGGAGAAATATAACCATAGAGTGAGCCACAATAGGCCATTGGTCACAGTGGAGGGCCTGACATGGGCCCACTCACGTTTGAACCTCAAACCTTATTTTTCAATCATTTCGTCCAGGAGAGTGATTGGTACAGGTGCTGATCGATATTTTACATGCCTTTGGGACATACAGGGTGTTTCAAAAAAACCCAACCCCCTTGCTAGGGTAGGTAGAACATTGCAAATAAGTTGGGTTTGCTCAGTCAAAAAATGTCGTCACGCCATCCGTTTTCAAGATACAAGGTGGTTAACAAAATATTGTTTTACACATTTTTTACGATGTGTTCTGAAAGCTGACACACCGCATGCATTTGTTTTTATATCTGACACTCATAGAGAGCGCTAGATACACGGTTCGTACCGAGTACTTTTGAACATAACTTTTTTGAGGTTGGATTTTTTCAGTCAAAATTCAACGTGAACTCGAACACCATTCAATTTTACACCGAAATGATACTCTTGGTAAAACTCGATTCTGTGTACCGTTTCCGATTTGAAAATGCTGAAGCAAACTCTGATTCTGGTATAAGAATAAGCATTATAAAAAACAATTATCTATTTATTGAGGACAAAAAACATTAACATTATATTACTGCTGAAGTAGCTGAAGTTATCGATTAATCAAAATCAGATCAGAAAATATTATTAAATTTGACTAAAAACATCATCTAGTTAGAGTGAGTGTTCAAAATGTCCTCCGTTTTCACTAATACACAATTCGATCCTTTTTTATAAAGATTGCATCAATCTTCTAAACGGTTGGAGATCAGCTATGAGATCATCGAAGTGATGTTCAATTCTTTCTTGCAGATCTTGACGTGAATTTACCTCTGTAACATAGACCTTTTCCTCAATATAGGACCAAACTGTGTAGTCCAATAGGTTGAAATCACATGAACACTCAACAAGATCAATAACATATCGGTGTATTCAGCATTTGAATACATTTTGATTATTAAACAACGTATTTATTAACAATACATCGATGTTATTGACATTACAGTCTCGACTATCGATAAATGTCAGTCTTCCAAAGGTAACTCAGACAAAACAATTTTGAGGTTTGCGACTAACACATTTGGAACACTCACTGATTGAATATTACATGTTTTAGTTGAATTTTTTTTTTTCATGACTGTTCAATTGATAACTCCCACATTAGAATAATCTCATTGGTTTTGGTTATCAATAAATAGGTAATAGTCTTTTATAATACTTATACTTTCAACTAGCATCAGTGTTATACTTCAGCATTTTCATGTGTCAGCTTTCAAAACACATCCATACAAAATTTCATTACAATGTTGCCAGTAGTTTCAACATAATCGTAAAAAATCTGTAAAAAACATATTTTTTCAACACCATGTATCTTGAAAACGGATTATTTCGCAATGTTCTACCTACCCTAGCAAGGGGGTTTGGTTTTTTTGAAACACCCTGTATATCAATTCGTTATCAGATGACGGTCGAAATTTTGCAGCCGGCTATTGGACTATAGGAATAGGAAAGTACAAGGGTGGGGTGGATCAAATTGTAACAGACTGTATGTAGTGTTCGTCAAACATGTCTCATTGCGCTTTTCCAGTACACCTACGAGGACGCCATGGACCTGATAGCGAAGCTGCCTGTAGTGGCGGCCACCATCTACCGCAACACCTTCAGGGACGGCTCCGGCATCGGGGCCATCGACACGTCCAAGGACTGGAGTTACAACTTCACCACCATGCTGGGCTACGACGAGGCCAAGTTCATCGAGCTGATGAGGCTCTATCTGACCATCCACAGCGACCATGAAGGTGAGTGGATGCGATCACTATGGATCACTATGGAAATTTATTTATTTATTCATCCATACACCACTCAACAGAAACCATTTACAGAGTGGGAGAATCACAAAAACAAGATGATATACAGGATGGGTATAAACTACTGAAATTGACAATAGTATGATGTTATTGAATCATGACACAATTTAGTTCAGGCAGATGTTACGTATAGTTTTCACATTCGTATTGAATAAATCAAGCTGGTCACTGAATTTGTTGCATGTATTAGACATTCTATATATTGGTGAATTCAGTAACACATTAGTTCGGGGGGTTGGCAGATAGAAGAAATCTGTTCTGCGGGACGTCAACCGAGGAATGAATATATTAAAATTTTCTAGGAGGACACAGTCATTAATCATATTATTCAATAATTTTTATGTTAAAATAGCAGCAGAACATTCTCGGCGGACACCCAGACTATTAACCCTATGCCTCTGGAGTAATAGTTCGTGCGCAGTGCCCATTGTAGGATACACGCCATCATATTTAAAGGAGAGGTACTTCAAAAATCGTCTTTGTACAGATTCTACTATATCAATATGTACCAGGTATAGTGGCGATCAAACTATCGTAGCATATTCTAATTTAGACCTTATATATGTGTGAAAAAGAGTTGTTAACGTTGAAACTTGCTGAAAATCTCTACTATTTCGGATCAGAAAACCATAGAGTCGATTCGCTGCAGATACCATATTCTCTATGTGTGGAGTGAAAGTAAGTTTGCGGTCGAAAGTAACTCCTAGATCATTAAGCACAACAGGTCTTTCAAGAGTCGTATTGTTGATGGAATATGGATATGATGTGGGTAAGGATTTCAAGGTACAGGACAAAACATTGCACTCATCAGGATTAAGGGGTAGCTTATTTTCAGTACACCACCGTACTACATTTTCTAGACTATTTGATAATCGGAGGCAGTCTTGAATGCTGGTTATCTCACAAAATAATTTCATATCGTCAGCATATAAGAGATATTCAACCTCAATAATATCCGTAATATCATTTATGAATATATTGAATGAAAGGGGTCCCAAGTTGCTTCCCTGAGGAACACCAGAGGAGGCTGAATACTCTACAGACTTGAATCCAGCAAAAGCAACATATTGTCTTCTGTTAATTAAGTATGAGTTGAATAAAGAAATCAACGAGTTAGAGAGACCAAATGAGGCAAGTTAATTCAAAAGCAAACAGTGATCAAGTTTGTCAAAATATTGATTGATTCAAATGGTCGCGAAATGCCATTGCTGGAACAACATTAATGGAGAAGTTTCCTTCAGATGAATTTTCATAAAATAAGTTCGGAACTCTCCAGTTTTATGTCCACGCTGTAAAGCAATTTCTAATTTTCGGGGCGGCAAACTGACGTGCATTCTGAATCTAGTCTGAAAATAGCTGATGGTGAAGAATATAGCTAGCAAATAGCTAACGAATGAAAAACGAATGAACAAAATAGAAGAAGAAGTAAAACTGGTAAACGAAAACATACATAACCACAAATGTACTCGGAGCAGGAATGCAGAGGGAAGTTGGCTTCATTCTGACAGGTTATGGTTTTGTTATTAAATTTATGCATTGAAATATCTCGAATAGAGCTCGATCCTAAACGAAAATATCACTGAATTAATGAATCACTATCGGGTACATTCAGTCATACTATCCTTCCTAATTCACTGCCATCGGTCAGAACAGAATGAAGCCGACACCCATGGCTCCTTCCTCTTGTTGTGCCTGTCAGTATCTTGAGTGGTGTGGACGGACTCCAAGTATTAGGCGCTGTTGCAAGATATAATCTGCAACTTTCCTAGAAAATAGATCCGTTTTATTAAGGAACGAATTCATCAGCAGAAAAATGACTGACAAGTTAACATATTGTAATATAATAATAGTGAAAAATTATAGATACTATCGCAAAATATTATAATTCATCTATTTTAGTAATCAACTTCATTCAGCCAATGAGAGATTTATGGGAATTATTCATAATACTTGACAAGCTGTTATGATAGAGTTATTATGCATTCAAAGAATAATTTCTGGAAATCTGGACATATTGATGATGTCCGCAATGTGGTACTGGCACAGGGATTCGTATTTTAACTCTGTGTTAATGTGGCTTTTCAGAAAGTAATTCATAGGAATGGTGGAGGAGCCAAGTTATTTTTTTCTGAAGTGAAATTTGATGTAACGAGAAAAAAAACGTATATATTAATTTTTTACAAAATTCACAGTGCGATAAAAACATCAATATATGAAACTTCCCCATTGTACTGAAATGCCCTGAAATCCTTGAATGCCCTGAAATGAAATCAAAAGCGTCGGGTATTTGATTTTAAATTTATTTTTTGCAGGTGGTAATGTATCTGCTCACACTGTCCATCTGGTGGGTTCTGCACTCAGTGACCCCTACTTATCATTCGCCGCTGGTATGAATGGATTGGCTGGCCCACTCCATGGACTTGCCAACCAAGAGGTAAGGCTATTTGTTTTTTCTGGGATGGTTCTAGTTTTTGTTATTCATTTATCCATATCCATGCTGTAGACAAAATTTATCATTAATTATATCAGGAGATCTGTAGGCCAATACTCGTTAATGGTGATTTCTGCTTATAGGATCATCATCTCCAAAATATTGGCAAATTAAGTCTGGTCAGAATGTTAACTATTCTATTTATATCAGTTATTGATATTCATTCAAACATCGACCAAACAATACCTCAAAATATTAACAAATTCAATATATTGACCCTTCATCATCAACGCTTTTGTTAGTACTAGTTCATCTAGTTTTTGAAATATTCGATGTTGAAGATGTTTCAATTAATTCCTACTAATATTAATGTGAATGTAAGTTTGTTAGTCGGGCTTTCACGCCAAAACCACCGATTTTCATGAAATTTTGTATACATATTCTACGATGTATTAGATGATAGGATAATTTTATTAAAAAAAAAGAAACATTTTTACAATGGTTAAAAAAATAATTTGGCAGACATGATTGTTGGACACAAAATATCCAACAATCAGGCATTAAACTCTATACGTCGGTACCTTAGATATTAATTATTAGAATATGTCTTTTGGGACTGATAAGTCTCGGATTATTCAGATGACGAAATGAAAATGACAATTATCTAACCAAACATCAGGTGGGCACTAAAAAGGCGCAAATTTATTACTGTATGGGAGATACCCCTCAGATTTTTCGCTATTGACTAACTTAACCACGATTAAAATTGACCCTTTAATCTTCTGTGCAACCAAAATGCACGATACAATACTACCTGAATAGTTGAAGCTGTAGGAAGGGGTCAAAATATACCCTGTGCAGTAAACCTCGAATTCATTCTCTGCCCGTGATAAACGGAATGGTCTCCTGGCAGGTGTTGCTCTGGCTGCAAAAACTGCAGCAGCAAGTCGGCGACAAGGCGACCGAGGAGCAGCTCATGGAACATTTAGTCCCTGTTGAAAGATAATATCCGATGATTTTTCGACAGGGGAAAAATATTCTCGGAAGCCTTATCACTAATTTAGATCTGTTTGAAACGCGGCACGTTTGGATATTCGCGAAGAGGACACCAGGAAAATGTTCTGCAATAATGATATTCAAGAAAAAGTTGAAAAATCTCCTTAAACTTTACTGAACTAGACTGTAATTTTAGTTTAAACAAGTATGTGTTCATTTTTTGTGTGTAAAGTATACCGACTGGCTATAAGTTGAATAGCTTAACAATGATTTATATATAATGACAATTGTTATTTTTGTATCTAGAGCACGAAATGCTACTTTGGTGATCGAGATCTGATTTTTTAACGTGGCGTAGCCGAGTGAAAATAATAGTCTAGATGACCAAAGTATTTCGCGCTCGAGTTGCAAACAACATTTTTTCTACAAACGTCAAAAAACATAGTTCCAAAGTAAAAATATGCATAGCTTGATGTAAAAAATAGTGTTGAACTGGCTTAAAAGGTCTCCCCCTATCCTTCCTAGATACGCACGATGTTCCACGAACATAATAGGAATTTCCGTTCGTTTGCTCCAAGAGATGAAACAAAGGTATTGTTGAACATTCAGAAATAAATTATTTCGTGGATGTTTGCTCGATTGAGGACCATTAAGTTGAAATATAAATATCTCATATATTTTTTACATAACAACGCGCGAAGTAGGTACTTCGCGCCTTGTTTTGTGCAAGGTAGCATGGTAACGTAGGAACCTGAAAAAAAGTGCCACTATGCAATTTGTTATCAATGCTTGTCATTTTTTGACGTTTGTAGAAAGAGGTAATGTATTGTTCAGAGGAAGGACCTACATAAGGAAGTAAACATTTTTTATTGGTTTAATAAAGATCTTTCTCTCTCCCTCTCTCATTGTCCCCTTTTATCTGCATCTTATTAAGTATGTCCAGAATGACTAGAGCAAAACAATTTTTGTGTCGTAGATTAAACTTTAACTTATGAAGTGCCACAGGTAACTGGCTCTTGAGTTATTCAACAAAAGAGTAGAAGAGGGATTTGAAATGTACTTGAAGTAAACCTCGAATTCATGCTCTGCTCGTAATAAACTGAGTTGTCTCCTGGCAGGTGTTGCTCTGGCTGCAAAAACTGCGCCAGCAAGTCGGCGACAAGGCGACCGAGGAGCAGCTCAAGGACTTCATCTGGAAGACGCTCAAGTCGGGCCAGGTGGTGCCCGGCTACGGCCACGCCGTCCTCAGGAAGACCGATCCGAGGTACACGTGCCAGCGGGAGTTCGCCCTCAAGCATCTGCCCGAAGACCCTCTCTTCCAGGTGCGTATCGAGTCACGTCACAGGCCGTGAAATATATTCTAGCAAAGGTGGATATATGTATGGTGAAATAGCTCCCTCTTACAAAACCCTAGAAATTTTTGTAGACCTCTGGCCTACTTGATTATGTCGAATTCTATCACCGTAGTAAGGCCGCGCAAAACTAACGCTAGATGGCGCTGTTCCCGAAGTGATCTTGCTACACAATGGTTGTTTTGTTTTGTTGTTTACATTTACGTATATTAATTCGTAATTCAAAAACATTGAGAAAAAGTGATTGATTTAATGAAAAAGACGTGAAATTTTCATCATATCTGTGAAGTATATGTGGCACGATGTTCCCTACGCCATCTACAGTCAATCCGGTGCGGCCTTGCTACGGTGTTTCGCGGTCTACACGTTTTGGAAAGAAACAATTGACAAGTGGTTACACCAGTCTATTTTCATCATGATTCTAGCACATAAAGAACAATACCAGGTGTTATTTAACCTAGAGTGACTTCATAAATGGAGTGACGACAATAGTGGTACACTTCTTGATTGGTCAGATCTTTAATATGGAGGTGCAGCCACTTGGTCTTGTATTCTCCATTCAGTTCAACGCATTCTATTTCACTTTGGACACAAAACATCCAATAATCAGACATGAAACTCAATACGTCAGTACCTTGAAAATCAACTATCAGAGAATCCGTCTTTTGGGATTCGTAAGCCTCAGATTATTTAGATGAAATGAAAATATTTGATATCTGAACCTATCATCAGGTGGGCACTTCGAAGGCGCAAATTCATTACTGCATGGGAGATACCCTTAAGAATTTTAGCTATTCAGTGACTTGACCAAGAATGACTTTCCGGAAACGGCAGCCATTTGGAGGACTATTGTCGTCACTCTATTTAATCTACTCACTCTAATTTTATCCTTGACTGTTTTCCCGAAACGTAACTGGTAGCGTGGGGCACATAGTATAATCTGAAAATCTTAGTTTTTGTTTTCTAATAAAAACTCATGGCTTCTCAAAAATTTTGCAATTTTGTTGAAATATCTGATCATGAAAACTATGAAGCACAAATAAACTCTATATTTGAATCAACAGAAAAAGAATATTTGGTATGAGTATTACAGGAGAGCAAAAGGAAAATCCATATTCTTTGGGGGCTGTCAAAATTACTTGAAAGTGGTCGCTATTGCAGGCCTTGGCTGAATTCCTAGCCTCGCCACGCTCGGCTATGAACTATCAGCCGCGGCAGTCAATCCACTACTTTGCTGCCTAGTAAATCAAATAACTATTCTCTTATTGCATTTGAACGTCCTGTATTCGAATTGTGGTGCATTTTGGGAGGTATGTTTCTGTATCAAATAAAGTATCTGTTACCTCCCAAATTCAACGTACAAAAATCTGGACAACCAAGTAGATGAATTCGAGATTTTGTGGTATAACAACGTTTTCGATCAACCTATTTTTATTTTTTTCAGCTGGTGTCTAATGTTTACAAAGTAGTACCTCCAATTCTTTTGGAACTTGGCAAAGTTAAGAACCCATGGCCAAATGTAGATGCACACTCCGGCGTTCTCTTACAGGTAGGACAATGTTTGATTTCTTCTCATTTGTTTTCTGCAATTGAGAATATTTGGCGAATCATTATGCATTCTTGATTCAATATACATATTTATATAAATATTATATATATAATAGCCGCGTGACCGAGCCTGGGCAATGCGGGCCTTCCGAGAACAGTGCGCGAGTCTATTTCACAAAAGATAGTTTCGTAACATTATTGAACATTTAGTTTACTAAATAGATACAAAACTCAGTCATATTCCCAAATGTTCATAAAATGAACAACAATGGTATAGGAAGGGAAATTCGATTCGTATAAACGAATACTGATGCAAGTGTTTCCTTACTTAATAGGATTGTTGCCATATACTTTTCAATGATTTATGAATTAATCAGAGTGTCTATAGTTATTTAGTTTGAGGAATAACTGATGAATCTCTTCCTCGCATTATTACGGCCTCAATGAGATGAACTACTAGACTTCCCGACGATTCCCTGGCAATGATTCCGCAGAATTATCCCCACCATTCGGGATTTCATTCATTGATCCTGGGGCTAAACTGTTAGGATTGTTGGCGTATACTTTTCAATGATTTATGAATGAATCTATCTATTGCTATTCACTCTGAGGTATAACCGATGAATCTCTTTACCAATCGCAGTATTACGGCCTCAAAAAGATGAACTACTACACGGTTCTGTTCGGAGTGTCGAGAGCGCTCGGCGTGATGGCGTCGCTGGTGTGGGACCGCGCCCTAGGCCTGCCCATAGAGCATCCTATTTCCATGTCCACGGATGGGCTGATGAAGGCGCTGAAGGCCTAGTTGGGGCCCCGTCGGCAGACGCTTTATTAGATATATTAAATATATCTATGAAGGATATCGATTCTCTGGCAATGATTCCGCAGAATTATCCCCACTATTCAAGATTTCATTTATTGCTCCATTTTTGGCGTTTAGAATTGTTGACGTGTACTTTACCATGATTTATCCTCCTCAGATCCCAGGTATCATATTGTATGATACCATATTTTACTGCCCGCTGGTATCGCATCTAATATGCATCAACCAATGAGCAAAAATTCGTACGATCGCAGTTCACGCGACTCGAGCGCGTTGTTTGATTTTTATGTCCATCTATTCTGACGCCATTGCCGACAACATTGAAATTTGACCAAATAAATATTTGTGGCAGATAATTTTTATGTTCTTTCGCTCAAATAGTTCTATAAGAGTTAGAAAATTTGTGTATACATTGTAAGATGATTAGTCAGCTATTTATTATTTTCCATTCCTAACTAGTTAGATATCACTGATGAAACCAAGGGACTCAAACTATAGCTTCATCTGAAATATTATATGTTTTGTGAAATTTCACGGATGCAGAATTTGAGGAAATCGCAAATAATTTGGACTTGAATGAATCTGACTTGGATGTAAATTTGTTTGAGGACGACAAGGATGGTTGGGACGAACTGGACAACCATATGCTTGTTCAAGTATTGGGAGCTAGTGATGATGAGTTGCTGGTTGCTAGTGACCTCGAGTGAATTTGATTCCGAGAGAGAGAAAAAGGAGACATTTTGGCTTCAAACAAGCAAAATATTTGCCATGTGTTGAAGATACTTCGGATCCTGAAAATATTTCCAAACCAATCACTAACTTCAACAAATACATTACAATTTGCCAAAATTCCGAATGTTTTGGGGGTTGGACACCAGGGTAATCATTTTTTCACCCTCCGAACGCAGATCAAACTTATGGACCATGATCCTGTATCAAAATAAGCTGCCATATTATTGTCTGGGTCTAGACCGATGGTATCATCAGTGATAACAATATTTTTGGAAAATTGATACATAAAAAAAAAAATGCATGAATATTAGTGTTTTTAACCACAATAAGTCGCTATATTTCGTTCGGCATATGCAAGTGTTTGTTATTATCGCCATCATTCGCGATTCCATTCATTTATCCGTTTTTGTCCTTAATAATAATTGTTGGTGTATACTTTTCAATGATTTATGAATGAATCTATTTATTGCCATCCCATTTCCATGTCCACGGATGGACTGATGAAGGCGCTGAAGGCCTAGGAGGGGGCCTCGTCGGCAGGCGTTTTATTAGATATATTAAATATATCTATGAAGGATATCGATTCTCTGGCAATGATTCCGCAGAACTATCCCCATCATTCAAGATTTCATTCATTGCTCCATTTTTGGCGTTTAGGATTGTTGACGTGTACTTAACAATGATTTATAAATGATTATTCTGAGCACTCACCCACAAATGTACAAGTGTTTGTTATTATCCCCACCATTCGCGATTCCATTCATTAATCCGTTTTTGTCCTTAAGAATAATTGTTGGCGTATACTTTTCAATGATTCATGAATGAATCTATCTATTGCTATTTACTCTGAGGAATTATCGATGAATCTCTTTACCAATCGCAGTATTACGGCCTCAAAGAAATGACACACGGTCCTGTTCGGGGTGTCGAGAGCGCTCGGCGTGATGGCGACTCTGGTGTGGGACCGCGCCCTCAGCCTGCTAATAGAGCATTTCCATGTCCACGAATGGGCTGATGAAGGCACTGAAAGCCTAGTCGGGGGCCCCGTTGACTGACTATTTATTAGATATTATTTCAAATATATCTATGAAGAATATCGATTTTCTGGCAATGATTCCGTAGAATTATCCCCACCATTCAAGATTTCATTCATTGCTCCAATTTTGGCGTTTAGGATTGTTGACGTGTACTTTACAATGATTCATCCTCCTCAGATCCCAGGTATCATATATGACACCACGGTTGCAAATTTGCTTCAATTGTCTACCGCGTGATATCATGTTACTGCCCGCTGGTATCGCATCTAATATGCGTCAACCAATGAGCAAAAATTCGTACGATCGCAGTTCACGCGACTCGAGCGCGTTGTTTGATTTTTGTGTTCATCTGTTCTGACGCCATTGCCGACAATATTGAAATTTGACAGAATAAATATAAGTGGCAGATATTTTTTATGTTCATTCGCTCAAATAGTTCGATAAATAGTTGAGAAGAAAATGTGTGCATACATTGTAGGATTTAATTAGTCAGCTATTTATTATTTCTCATTCCTAACTCGATCATTGATGATACCAAGGGACTCAAACTATAGCTACATCTGAAATATTATGTTTTGTGAAATTCACGGATGCAGAATTTGAGGGAATCGCAAATAATTTGGACTTGGATGAATCTGACTTGGATGTAAAGGACCCCGCACATTTAGTACGTAAAATGGCTTTCGGCTAAATTTTCTGAAAATTTGATATGTTTAAGACATTATCGTCCTTATCACACAGTCCAATTTACAGATCGATCCTATGACCAGTTTTCGAGCTACAGGGTGTCAAACATTAGATTTTGGCTGTTTAGAATATTTTGCATCAATTTGAATTATGTGCTCTAAGTCGTGATTATTATTCAGTAGGAATGAACTCTTCACGTCTAATATCTACCTCATGAATCCCTCTATTCGGTTAGAGGATAATATCACATACAGAGTATTGCATTCCATCATGACAAGGTAATATTCTTGGGAAAAGACAAATATTGAAAACATCAGAATTTTGATTTTTACTCAATCACTGAAAACTCGAAAAGAAACGGCTAGAATCGGCCAATTATGTGACACAGTATGGGTCTTGATCATAAACATGATTACCTCTGATACCATGTCTGGTTGGCCATATATAGGGTGATGACAATTTGAAAGCTTATAGAATTGATGTAACTCAGGTACAAAATGAGATACATTTCTATAATATATGAAGTGGAAAATGAAATGTCTCATGAAATAACCCACCCCCACCAAGCCCCTGATGAGTCACAACCACCCCAACGCATATCATCTCAATAGTAGCCCCTACTTATTGTTATTGTAATAAATATTTTTTGTTAGTTCACCCAGTTCGAGATATGAATAATACCACTGAAATGTATTTTCACCAAGCTATTCAATGAGGTATCACAATAAGTAGGGGCTACTATTGAGATGATATGCGTTGGGGTGGTTGTGACTCATCAGGGGCTTGGTGGGGGTGGTTTATTTCATGAGACATTTCATTTTCCACTTCATATATTATAGAAATGTATCTCATTTTGTACCTGAGTTACATCAATTCTATAAGCTTTCAAATTGTCATCACCCTATATATGGCCAACCGGACATGGTATCAGAGGTAATCATATGAATCCTCATGTTTATGATCAAGACCCATACTGTGTCACATAATTGGCCGATTCTATCCGTTTGTTTTCGAGTTTTCAGTGATTGAGTAAAAATCAAAATTCTGATGTTTTCAATATTTGTCTTTTCCCAAGAATATTACCTTGTCATGATGGAATGCAATACTCTGTATGTGATATTATCCTCTAACCGAATAGAGGGATTCATGAGGTAGATATTAGACGTGAAGAGTTCATTCCTACTGAAGAATAATCACGACTTAGAGCACATAATTCAAATTGATGCAAAATATTCTAAACAGCCAAAATCTAATGTTTGACACCCTGTAGCTCGAAAACTGGTCATAGGATCGATCTGTAAATTGGACTGTGTGATAAGGACGATAATGTCTTAAACATATCAAATTTTCAGAAAATTTAGCCGAAAGCCATTTTACGTACTAAATGTGCGGGGTCCTTTGTTTGAGGACGACAACGGTGGTTGGGACAAACTGGACAACCATGTACTGTTGTACAATGCACAAAAAGTGCAGCGAGAAACGAAGGAATATGATTTTTCAGGTAAATAGTAATCTCACATAGTTATCATTATGAAATGGTGTCCGTTCTTATTAAAATTCCTTCTGCCACTTCTGCAATACAAGCTAATACTGCTAATAAATTGAAAATGTCTACAACACACACGATCATATTTCGTCAGCATGTCAGACCAGTCCTCCCGTTTGATTGCATGAATCCAATCTTCTTGCATTATTTTAAAAATTTCACGTGTATTTCTATTAGCTCCTATTGCAGAAGGAATTCCGATGAGAAATCAGAGAAATTACCAAGTTTCAAAAATGAAAACTATATGTGAGTGATTATAGTAGGTAGGTACTTACTTTCAAATCATAATGTACCAACATGATTCCTTCGTCTTCTGCTGCAGTTTTTGTGCATTGTACAACAGCACAATGTGATGGCATGAGCGAATTAATAAATAGCCGAAAAATACGATTCGTATTCCAAAATGATTGTCAAAAACTATTTCAATCAATTGTGAACAAATAAGAAAAGTGAGGTTGTGATTCCATGTTGTTCCTCCAGGGTCGGTCATCTGACAGTTCTTGCACGCAACCCATAGTTTCCTGTTGGGCCGGAGGAGGTTATAAATGATTATTCGAAGTACTCGCCCGCAAATATACAAGTGTTTGTTATTATCCCCACCACTCGCGATACCATTTATCTATTTGTGTTTGTCCTTGAGAATAATAATTATTGGCGTATACTTTTCAATGATTTATGAATTACTCTATTTATTGCTATTTACTCTGAGGAATAACCGATGAATCTCTTTACCAATCGCAGTATTATGGCCTCAAAGAGATGAACTACTACACGGTGTTGTTCGGAGTGTCGAGAGCGCTCGGCGTGATGGCGTCGCTGGTGTGGGACCGCGCCCTCGGCCTGCCCATCGAGCGACCCAAGTCCATGTCCACGGCCGGGCTCATGAAGGCTCTGAAGGCCTAGTGGGGCCCCGTCGGCCGGATGCTAGTGGAAGCTGGTTTAGATGAGGATGGAGGAACGGTTACTCGGGAGCTACCAAAACTGCCTAGGAACGAGTCGGATAATGTAGTTTTTTCAGCCACTAGTTGTTTTTTTCGATGAAGGTGGGTACTTTGCCCAGTTTTTGATTATGTTTAGATCCATGGGTTTAATGGAACGGCTTGGCAATGATGGATAAAATGGACAAAATCACTAGAAAGCTATGATTACGTAGGTGATGCAAGGTTTTTTTTTTGTTTTCATTCGTTAATGTAATTCTCAGAAAATATTAGTGACGCTTTAGTTTATTTACTCGTAAGAAGGGATCGGGTCATTGAAGTACTTCAGGGCGATATATTTTTTTTTACTTTTGACTACTCTTGATTATCAAATACCAAAAATGCAGAAGCATACACACTGGCGATGGTAAAATGAGGGTTCACATAACCAATTTTACTGCATTGATTTCTGACTTCATGTTAATTATCTTTTCACGTCATTGTGCCAATTTTCGCGATTGTAGTAATTTCTAATGAGAGATAGACCAAGAAAGGAAAATGTTCAAATTGAAAGAACGTCTAACACCTACATTATAAGATATGGTGAAAATACTTGCTTGCCGTAATTTACTTCATTACACTCTATTTCAATCAACCCTACTTGGGGGTAAATATAATATACCCTCAATATTTATCGAAGATATATCACACCCAGTTTTTTTTCGGTAGTTTTTGTTTTTTGGGAGATTACAGCATTGATGATTTTATATAAATCACAATAGACATAGTACTTTCAAATGATTTTATCTCTTTTGTCCATTTCGTCCACACTAAAATAATGAATTTTTGAGAATCGAACAAATTATTACAAATTATGTACTAGCAAAATTTTCTTGTTCCTTCAGTTTATCAAAGCTCTGTGGTAGCTGTTCTTACTTTGTTTTAATACAAAACGAGAGTCTTTGTATAATTTTTATTTATTATTGTTTGTACAAAGCTGCAAAGATGTACATTTTATTTCATAATTTATTTTATTGCATCATTTATTTTAAATTTGTAAAATACTTCTTAGGTGATAATTCTGTTGGTAGTCAATCAAAGGAAAAGTTTTACCTTCCCAAATATGCTAATTACAATAATCCACATTTAAGTTCATATTCTGCGCAAGAATTTCAACATCTTATATTCAAAAAATATATTTAAATATAGTTCACAAGTGTGACATGGAATTAGTTATACAATCGGCTCAGTTAGTTAGTACTACTTAGCTGTAATAATTATTGTAAATCGGCAGTTTCCTTAACTTGTGAATAAAGTCAGACAATAGACCTTTGTATCAAAATGCATTTAAAATTATTCCGTCGCACTTCCCTTTTACCTTGATGTTTACACATTTCACAGGCTGCTACAGGGTGTCAGTGAAAGGTCTGCACAAAATGATACCATAGACTCCTGAGGCCAAAATGAAATGGAATTTTCATAATTTATTTTTATGCAAAACCCCGTCTTTTGAATTCGTGGAAAAATGTGTGCCATATATTGAATATCAATGGTATGATTTCAGACGAAAATCAAGTATGGACCCACAATAATAAAATACTTCTGAAGAGTATTTGGTAAAAACAAATTGAATTTGGTTAGTCAACATGCAAACCAATAGAAATATCACAAACTTCCAGGAGGACTGAAAGTTATATGTATGTGAGTGGCATACTCGGAAAAAGTTCTATTAATTTTTGATCAACAGTACTCCAAATATGTATCATCCTGTATGTCAACCAAAATGGTATGGAATGTTTTTTATGCATAATAGTCCTGTAAGTGTGCCTACAAAATTCCAGACCGATATTCATAGACAAAATTGAAATATAGAAAAAATTTAAAATATAAAATTAAAATATCAATGACGCCCTGTAGCAGCTTGACGGAGCGTTTTGGTATAGATATGATTTTGTTTCAATCACTCTACTTTGGTTTCAGGGACACCTTGTTTAATTTTAATATGGAAGGTGTGTATAATTATTTTGATGATGTCCAATTAGTTAATTCTAGTGTCACAAATCCCTGAGATAGTTCTAATATTGATTCAAGAAATTATCTATCCAACCTAGGTACGCACGATGTTTATCGAACATCATAGGAATTTCTTTTCGTTCCAAGAAAAAAAAAAGAAAAATAACGAACAGTACCTAAATTTTGATTTCGTGTTTCAATAACGTTTTTTGACTTACTTTGTCAATAAAATTTTACATACACTACACTGTTTTACCACTAACCAAACCGATTTTTTAAACGCCTCAACACGTGTTTCGCTAACTACGTTAGCATCTTCAGGAGAAGATTAAAACTCAAAATACATCTTTAGACGATGAAGCATTTTCTCTATCTTATTAGGTGAGCAATGTCAAAGTAGGTTTTGCGAGGTGAAACGCAGAGACATTTGACAAATTAAGACTGATCAGATGTTGCTGTTATAAGTAAATACATCTGTAATATGTCAAATATCTAATCTAAATGTTGAGGCATCTCAACTATGATTATTAGTTGAGTTTCGTAAACAAATGTCATTACTGTGTATAAATAAACAAAGATTGACAGCTGAAATAACCTCCAACCTAACCAGCGCCATCTGTCGCAGGCACATCTGACAAGACCGCTCCTGGAGGGAATACAACCTCACTTTTCTTATTTGTTTCCGAGGTATTGAAATATAGTTTTTCTCAATTATTTTTGGATACAGATAATGTTTTTTTGTCTATTAATTAATCATTCCAGAATTACGTCGTTTGACAGGTTGCTGAGGGGCAAACATTGTATTTTGTCAAGATATGTCATATAAAACCAGAATAAGTGGGATAGTTTTCCTTGAAATCCGAGTTGGAACCAGGATGTATTTCATGATTTTGTTTGGTGAAACTGTTATTATACAGTGTGTCCCACTTACCATGCTCACCATGGGTATCTTTTTAACGGTGAGAGATACGCGGTCGGTTAAATGACACCAAATGTGGAGTTTGTCAAGGCCATCTATAATGTGGAAAAATATTTTGATAAAATCTATTCGTTTTTGTTTTATATGCAAAAAACAGATTTTGATCATTTTCATGTCTCCTCCGTAACTTCTTTATTTATGAAAATATTCAAATTCTCATGGCAGTTTTTCAAAGTGATTTCGAAAAAAATATGAAATTTATACCAACTCTTCTAGAATTTGAGAAAACAGCACCAACTTTAGTTTTTCAAATGAAGGTCATAGCTCACTATGACTTAGTTACAAATAACTTTTTTTTCTCCTACAGATAATATGTCGCAGTAATAGTTTTGTGTTGATAACAACGGAGTTATCGTCATTCATACAAAAACAAAAAATTATTTGGAAGCCGCCATCTTGAATTTATAAATTTTAACAAAAAAATTATAATCTCCGACTTCAAAAACCCCCACTTACAAATTTTGAATGGAATCGGATCAAATCTTGTCCGCCATCTTGGAGCAGCCATTTTTTAATTTCAACAAAAATTCCATAACTCCGATTAACTTGAAATTTGGCAGGTCTTCATAATTTCGGTGACAATACATTATGGAATTTTTGTTGAAATTAAAAAAATGGCTGCTCCAAGATGGCAGACAAGATTTGGTCCGATTCCATTCAAAATTTGTAAGTGGGGGTTTTTGAAGTCGGAGATTATAATTTTTTAGTTGAAATTTATAAATTCAAGATGGCGGCTTCCAAATAATTTTTTGTTTTTGTATGAATGACGATAACTCCATTGTTATCAACACAAAACTATTACTGCGACATATTATCTGTAGGAGAAAAAAAAAGTTATTTATAACTAAGTCATAGTGAGCTATGACCTACATTTGAAAAACTGAAGTTGGTGCTGATATCTCAAATTCTAGAAGAGTTGGTATAAATTTCATATTTTTTTCGAAATCATTTTGAAAAACTGCCATGAGAATGTGAAATTCCTATATGAATATTTTCATAAATAAAGAAGTTATGGAGGAGACATGAAAATGATCAAAATCTGTTTTTTGCGTATAAAACAAAAACGAATAGATTTTATCAAAATATTTTTTAACATTATAGTTGGCCTTGACAAATTCCACATTTGGTGTCATTTAACCGACCTCGTATCTCTCACCGTTAAAAAGATACCCATGGTGAGCATGGTAAGTGGGACACACTGTATTGTGGATGTGGCCAGGGCTATGCTCATCAAAGGTAACTTAACAGATAGTTTGTGTGCCCCTCAAAAAACCATGTCAAAATAACGTGTTCTGGAATGGTCAATTGGTTCAAGCATGCCATCACATTGTTGCTGTTGCACAATACCCAAAAATTGCATCGCGAGGCGAAGGAATAAGATTTTTCAGGAAAATTCAAGTAAATTGTGATCTACAACTACTGTAGATAGAAGCTATAATAGAGTGAACAATTGAACATGCCTACAACACACACGACCATATTTCGTCAACTTGTATCAGACCAGTCGTCTTGTTTGATTGTACAATTCCAAGCTTCTTGCCTTCTTTTAGAAACCTCAAGTATTTCTATTTGCTAATATTGCAGAAGGGATTCTAAAGAAAAATAACAAAATTTCAAAATGAAAACTATGCCAGTGACGACAGAGACTCTGTTTATGTTCGGTAACAGTACTCTAAGATCACAATTGACATATTCGCGATAAAAAAAATACGTCGCCCCACCTGACGGCAACAACGATGATACGACCGATAAGCACAAACAAAAAACGAATGTGAAGCAATGACAACAGAACATGCCACTTTGACAGCTCTCAAGGACTCCAATAGGTGGCGTAGTCTCATCCCAGATAGCACAAGTACATCTTATGGATATACTATGGATATCCATCATGGATATTGTGGATGTCCATAAGATATCCGAAAAAGGCTCTGGTATATCCTATGGACGTCCATAGGATGTGACAGTGTGACCTTTTTGGATGTCTTAAAGATATT